GAAAAAGAAAAAAAAAGGTTGCAGGTGCTAGAACCCCTACAAAAAAAATGACCTTTAAAAAAAAAAAAAAAAAAAAAAATGATAGAGGGAGGTGCAAGAGAATATACATCCCTCCCCATACTCTGTTAAGAAATATTTTTTTTTAACTTTAATAGAAATATTAAAAAAAATAAAAAAACCCCACACATTTAGCCGGAAGCCAGCATCTACTATAGAGAAATTTCAGCCCCAAGAATGGGAATTTATAAGCAACTGAAAACTGGACCAAACGATGAAATAGATTAAGAAACCCTATCTGTATGCCTCTCTATCAGTTCTGCTTAAGTACTGCTTTCCTTAAGATTATGTACATGTACAATCTTAAATTACGATGCTGGCAAATCTGAAACTAAACCAAGTCAAGTGACAAGGGAAAACCTGCAAAATGCTGTTGACCCTCTTGCTCAGAAATGAATTAACTTTCTATGCATGATCACATGCCACAAGTTGTCAGCCATGACAAAAATCTAAGACAGAGTTAACACAGTCTCCAAATAAACATAACCGAAGGTAATCTGAACTCAGACTTAGTACGGAAGATGCATGGGTTTTCACCGGATAGAGGTATCAACTAGACAAGCGTTTCCCAACCTTTTTTTGCCCCGCAGCACACTTACCTAAATAAAAAAGCATCACGGCACACCAGACACAGAGCAGGACAGCAGGAGTGGATAGTGAGTGGACAGCTGGGTAGCATTTTGGGCTGAAGTCACACCCCCTGCCTGGCTGGAGCCACACTCCCCATTTGTCTGTGTCCGTAGCAGCAGCAGGCAGGGGGTGTGGCTCCAGCCCAAAATGCTAAAGCACACCTGGACGTGCCTGACAGCACACCAGTGTGTACGGCACACCGGTTGCGAAATGCTAGACTAGACAAAGACCTAAACAGGGGACCTCCAAAAAAGGGCTGTAGTTATGTCAAAGATAACCGTTTGAAGAACGTTACATTTAAAATCAGATTTTTTCCTTCTTTTAAAGGCCACATTTTACCCTAAAACACAAGTCCCTAATGAAATCACTGGGAGCCAAGTAAAATGGTCAAACTCATTTAGATGTACCTATCACCATGAAATTAATAACAGGTACAAAAAGACAAAAACTTGGTCCTGATAGTTAAGAATTCTATAGCCTTACCGGCAAGTGGCTAGGCTCAAACCAACTCGGCAGGTGCTTAAGTAAGATGTAGGTGGAAAAAAATCAAGTTTTAGCAATTCAAATTTCCTGCCCTAAAAACTCATTACGTACCTAAATCTAGCCTACATCTCCATTTTGGCCTGCCAGTGTCCCTAGGCAGTCAGACTTGGGCATATGCATCTGTGCAGAAGGGACTCAGAGTGAGACACTTATGCAGTTAAGCCCAACATATTCCAGAGAGATTCTAATTGGTCCTGGGAAGTGGCCAAACTCCGTTCAAGTCCCCAGAAAGGGCTACTCTTGAGCAGATCAAAAAAAAACACATTCAACTTCCACTGACCATTTAATTCAGCTCAGAGTTACCGGCAGGGGTGGTGCCTCTTCCCACTGGCTGCCCAATATCTTAGTGGCTAGAGCTTTGCCTAGGAAAGTGGGGGCCAATCTTTTTGACAGACATGCCCCAAAATTAGCCTTGCACCCTCTGAATTAGTGCCGCTCCAATCCCCTTCCCCTGCCTCATCAACTGCTCTGCTTCCTGCTCCTTACCCAGTCTGCCTCTGCTTTCTAGCAAGTTCTAGTCTCTGCTTCCAGGTTTATGTCTGTTTTTAAAACTAGTGACTGTCTACACATTTCAACAGTGATGGGAAGTAGGGACAAGAACCTACAAGATAGTCCTATCCACTGGGCTACAGAAGAAGATCTTTTTAAGCTTCTTCAGACTTGTGCCCCTTTAGGCTTTTAACTCTTGACCCTTGGCTGCCAGTGACTCCAGCTGCTTTGACATAGCAATATTCAGTCACATGAATACCTATCAGATATTCTTACCTTAGATACAAGATGTTCACAGTACTGCTGTGAGGTAACAAATCTTTTAAAACATATCACACAGGCAACGGCACTAGCTGGAGCTCCATGGAGTGTAATTGTTGGGTCACAAGGAGAATGATCAAATCTATAAAAAAAAGGAAAACAACAAAAATGATTCCACTAAGCAAAAGAATAGGTTTCCTTGGAAGAAAGTAAAGTAATCTGAAGCATCGGGGCAAAAAACAAAAACAAAACAAAAAAAATAGCTAATCAATTGTCTGTTCAAGCAAACAAAAACAAGATTGTTAGGCAGTTTCACTGAGTATTGGCTAATGTCATTCAAATCCCAGTTTGTGTGTCATAAGTGTAATGATGACTGAAATTTGCTCATTTTAATGCTTACTAAGCAAGGGAAAGAAAACAATAGGATTAACTAGGGGAGAAAGCATCAGGTTTTAAAAATGCAAGTTTTAAGGCAACAACAGAAACACTGAAAAGTTCCTAATGTTCTCCCTGTAAAAAAATTCACTGCACACTGGCAACATCTTTCCAAAAGCAATACTGAAATTACAGGGCAGTATGATACAGATCTGAGACAATGCCCCACAGTCACAGATGTTCAGTGATGTTCTCTTTTGACCTGTGATATACTCTTACCTTTTCAGGTGGCCTAACAGAAGATGCCCATTATCAAATTTTCTGTTGCAATGCATTACAGGACATAAAATAGGACTGCTCTTCACTGGTGTCTGGCCTGCCCTCTGGAATCCACCTGCCTTCTTGAATCCACCTCTTCCACAATTAACCATACCTGGCTTGAGACCTGTATTGTAAGACAAAAACTTTCAGGTACACAGCCCTGATAATATCAGAAACTTTTCTTTTCTTTAAAATGAAGCAACTGAACACTTATCATCAGATTATACTGACAAGGCAAAACAAAGCTGTTATATTACACAAAAATAGGGCTTTGATGAACCAGAAAGGTTTTATTTTACCCTAGGAAAAAGACTGCAATTTCATAATTTTCAACTGTTTATGATAAAATGATGTGTGTGCTGATTCCAACACCTACTCAATATATATACACACACTATACAAATGGATACAGATATTTAAAATCCACTTTGATTCCTTATTTATTAGGCTTATATAAAGAAAAAGGATTTTTTCCCTCAATCAATAAGCTGTGCAAATTAGATTTCTACCTGATGGTTTTGTCTTTGCAAGTAGCTAACGTTACCCAAGTATTTCCTATACCCAGCATATGGAACACTAATGTTAAATAGTAAGAAAAACATGTAAAGAAGAATTTTAAAGCAACAGTTGATTGTATACCTCTAGCACACAGGGAAGCATTGCGCTAAGACACACCATACTAGCTTCTGGACAAGTGATATAAATATATTACTAACTTGCTTGCAAAGCTTCACCAACTTGAAAAATGGAGCTTATTGGTAGACATGCAGTACTGCCTCTAGTCAGTAGCTAGTGCATGCAGAGCTAATGGCATGTCTAATAAAACATGTATTGTGTAGCAGTATTCTAAGTACTTTGCTCCAGGACAGGAGGAAAAACAAACCCCAAACAAAAAACCCTATGTTTTTACTAGACTGCAGACTTCAAAGTTGTTAATAAAGTACATGGTTAGTTTTTCCCACCTCATTAAGATTCTTACCTGTTTCTTAGAGCACCGTATACCTCAAACAGCAGCCTTGAAATTGAAGGTTCACAATTTATATAATTGTAACGTAACCATCCTCCATTTGAAAGTAAAACAGTGTGGCCAAAGGGTTCCTATACATGTAAGCTGTTTACATGCTTAAATGATATGCAATTATACAGTTTGTTATAATGTAAGTGTGGCAGGGCACTGTTGGTGCCTGCCATTTCAAGAGCTGAGCCAAACAGACAGCAGGTTCTTGAGTGTGGCAGCCATTTTAGATCTCTGACCACCTATATAATCAGAGCAGTTCCCTGTTGACAGTCCAGGCAGTAACATTGCCTGGCTGAATGCACCACCCAGGAGGTAAGGGCAGCAGCTGTAGGGGATGATTGGAGGCTTCTGGTCCTGGGCATGACCTAAAACTGCACCCTGCTGGGAGTGGGTGGCCTGGTGGGGCTCTCAGTGGTGCAGGAACCCCCAGGAGATGCCAGGTGCAAGACACCAAGGAGAGTGCAGCCACTTGAACCCATGTAGGGGTGCAAGACCCAAGGAGATGAGGAGGCCCAGTGAGAGGGCAGTCCCAGTGAGGGCAGCGATGAAGAGCCTCAGTAAGGGGGTGGAAAAGCGGAGCCCCAGTGTGCGGGGAGGGGGAACCCAGAGGGCTGGGAGTTCAGTTTGCGTGTGGGTGAGGGTATAGAGTTGTCCCAGAAGGGGCCAGGGCAAGCTTAGACCCGGTCAGGTAATTGGCTGGCCGCTACCCTGGTGAGGGTCATGGGAGATGACCAAAAGACAGTACATCTGCCACCCAAGGTATGAGCTACCTAAAGCCTATGACCTAAGGGGCCCGCTCCAAGAGGGAGTAAGGCAGTACAAATTGTCAAGGCGTGAAAAAGACGCTGTGAGAGCAGGTGGAGTGAGAGAGGCCCTAGTGAGGAGAGTGGTATGAATGTGTGCGAGTCTGAGGCCTGACAACAAGGGCTAAGCTTGGAAGCCAGAAGCACTGTCATCTGGATGCCGTCTGTGAGGCTTGGGCTGCGGTGTAGGGGAGGAATGGAGCTGCAGATTGCGCCCCCTGGCATCGGGACAAGAATAGGCAGCCTCCTGCCTAATTAACAGCATAACTATTAGGGCTGTGCGAAACAGAAGCATTCGTTTTGACCAGCATTTTGACGGAACAGCGTTCTGTTTCGACTTTTGTTCCGAGTTGAAGCGGCTGTTCCGTTCTGTTGCAACGTTTTGCCATTTTGACCCTGTTTTGATGTTTCGTCCATAGAATATAATGGGGAAGGTCAAAACAAGCTATAACTTTGTCATTTATGGCCAGATTTGGATGAAACTTGCAGGAATGGTAGCCCCTTCTGGGGGCATGAAGCGTGCTTAAGTTTCAAGAAAATAGGTGCAGGGGGCTCAGAGAAACTGCACCCCAAAATCTTTAAAGCAAAACTCACGTCACATGTATGTGTTAAGCCACAGTGGGGTCAAAACTGCAGGTGCTAGCCTCTGCTGAGGCCACAAAGCCTGCCAAGTTTCAAGGAGACAGGTGCAGGGGCTTGGGGAAAATGCACCTAAAGGTGTGGACAAGCAAAACTTGTGACATGGGTGACACTGTGTTAAGGTGCAACAGGGTGAAAGCTGCACGCGTGCTAGCTCCTGCTGAGGCCACAAAGGGTTGTGCACGAAGGGAAAAACCCCACTTTGCCACAGTAAGCAACAGGCAAAAATTGGGACCTGCAAAGCAAGCAAATTATGCACTTAGCCAATATGTATTAGGTGGAGTACATTAGAAAAGCTACCACTCAGAGTACAATTTTATACTGAGCTGCATTAGTACTTTAAGTGACATGTATTTGTTTACTACTGACATTTAACGCAAATACTGAATAATTTATTCCAAATGTTGACTGAATGAAGTGATAGAGACAACATTAATTTCTAAGTTTAAATCACTTCAGCAATGGGTCTGAGTAGTCACTCTTCAACAGCCATTGTTCACTATTTCATATTTAAAATTTCCTCCCTTTTAATTAGTTACCTGGCATTTTTAACCACTGGTCCACACACAATTTTGCTGCTTCTGTGTCACTATGTCCCCGAATAAATTCCAGCTCCTGCAATCCATGAGCATGTTGGGAATCCATTTTTTCCTGAAGGGAAGACAAATTAAATTAAGGTAATTTGGAATATTCAATTAACTCAAGTAAACAAATTAATATATCAGAAACCTCATATTTATATCGATCAAGAAAAGTACATCCATCTATATTGTACTGTGACCAAATGAGGTAGCCTCTTTACAATTTAACAATGTTTATTCGTTAATAAATTAGATAGAGGAAAACAATCAAAGTCTAAAAATCTTAAATTCCATCACTTCTCCACATTAGCTGAGAATTCATTATGACAAGGGTACTGCAGAGCCCAAATCTCTCCCCCATCACTGACATTAATCTGCCTGAACTTGTGTTGAATGATGCTCATGTTGGTTATCAAATTTCACTTTGGAGATATTCAAAGTCAGAAGTCAAGATATGATTTTATGTATATTAGCTACATTTTTTTTAATATATTACACGTCTCAGTACCAATAACAAAGCACACAAAAGGCGTTAAAGTATTTCAGGCAGAAAATTAAATCTGTTAATAAAAACGGAACTAATAGCTAGTGAAGGTACGCTGCTCCCCTTGATGAGTTAAATATATATACGGTAACTCAGTTTATCTTGCCACTTAAATCAAAATAGTTTACTCAGTTTTGAATCATGTTACTGCACCATGTGGACTCTGAATCATCTGTACTAGATATCTCTATTTATGTGAAGAACACCTGCTGACACCTAAATGCTTTTATTTGGCACAAGAATAGAGATCCTAAAGTCACTGCCATCTTTCATATCTTTGGTTTTCTGTAACATCCCATAGAAAGGCCTTGTATTTTTTTCCACTCTCCAGTGGAAAGGCTCGTCTCTCCAACAGCTCCCAGAATGCTAAGTTTCACCAGCAGCTATCATAGCAAGTGAAGACCCAGCAATATTTCCAGGAACAAAATCAAGGAGCCACATCAGAAATTGAAAACACCCCCATAAAAAGCAGTAACGCTACCTTTGGGAACACAAGTCACAGGTTTCCCTCACTTTGAGGGTTCTTTATATGCAAATTTGTTCTTATGCCATGACCCTTTTTATACGAAAAATTCATTATATGCAAGGTAAATTCATTCGTATGTGATCAATGTGGTGGAAGCCCAGTCAGCTGCTCTGTGCAATGCATTATGGGAGTGGCACACACCAATCTAAAGCCTCCTGTGTGGATCTATGCTCCTCACTTGTTGTCTGCTACTCGTGTTTCTGTACAGTAGACCCCTGATTTACATGATTCCGACTTATGTGCGTCTCATGTTTACACAATTTTTTTTTATTAGGGAAATGGAAAATGCCCCTCAAGATGCGCGTCATTTGTGTATATATGCGAACACTTGCAAGATTCGTGTATATACGGAAATGCCTCACAAGATTTGCAGGCAGAATCAAGCAGAGCTGTGCTGCCACTGCGGTAGCGGCATCTGAAGATGCATAGGTGAGACACTAGACACACTCCTAAAGGCGATTCCGCTGAGAAAAGGGGGAAAAAAAAAGCTATGACTAAGGTATGTCTGAGGTATGCAACCCCTCATTATTTTATTATTTCCTATGGAAAAATTAAATGCCTTAAGCAGCCTAAAAGTGCCTAAAAGTGTACTGGTTCATTCTAGGTTTTGACTGTGCACTGTCATATCTTTATATTAGTGTGTATTTAGGTATAGGGAAGAACAGAAGTATCCACAGCTCTCCAGCTCCCAGATGCACCACTTGCCTTCCCCAACAGGTTGCGGCATTGACCCCATACACATACACAAAAAATAAGAGCAAAAACCACACGACCAATTTTACACTGCTTGTTCCTGGTTGTGCATGAGAATGAATAAAGAGTGGGGAAAAATATATTAGAGACTATAGCTACTTCACTTTGGCTCCTCTCTGCTGTGCAAGACTAATGAGAGAAAGCTTGCCAGGATACCTGAAGCCCCAGCTCAGTTTGTATCCTAAGCAACAACAGCACTACAGGAGTCAATAAATCTAGCATTGATAAGGCACCTGAGATTACACAGATCCTACAAAAGTAATATACACAAGCATGGAAACAGTATATGTGCCTGCACCACATACCAAGTTACAGGCACTGCAGAACATAACTTTCAGCTGTGAAGATGATTAGTTTTAAGGAATACTCAGAGAAATACTGGTACTATAAACAAGATAATTTGTTGCATAAGTAAGGCAAAACCAATTTCCTAGTACCTCCTCTATAACTAGTATTAACCCCCATTCCATACATATCACTGGTAACACCAATTCCTGTCCATCTCCTATGCCTTGAGCCATATCCTCGCTGCCATTTGGTTGACATCCTCCATGTTAGATCAGTTTGCAAAGATACAACTCCTATTACTGAAAAAGAGCTACATATAATCTCAGGCTCTAACACCACAAAAAGGAAATAAAAACATAACTCCAGCATTGTGGTACAACTTTAATTAATGTACTTAACATCTTAGAAAGCAGCTGTATATCCAGGAATAGGTATTTCAGTTTTCAATAAAAAGACCCCCCCCCCCAAGTTTCTGTTATTGGGTTGGCCACATTTACAAATGTTAATAGTATGGTTTAGTTGCTTTAGGTAGACAAAGTTTGATGTCCTACAGTAAAGACTGTGGGTACATACATCTGAACGACTTATTCCTCAAAGAAGAGAAACAGTAAGAAGGAAATGGTCCTCTCTACCCGCAAAGGAGAGGTCACAGCATTCTATACCCAGGACCAGTGATTCTCAAACAGGGTACCATGAGATCTTTAAGAGTGCCATGGGTTGCTGCTTATTAGCACTATTAGGTGTGCAAACAAGATTCACAAATAATCCCAGAGATTTCAAGTATGAGTCCACAGTGCAAAAATGTTCTGACTAGCTGTGTTTTTTCCTGAGTTCTTTGCAATAAAACAATTATTATTTTTCTGTAGTCAAGTAAAAGTCAAGAGCTGGCATTTTCTGAGTGGTGTCAGAGTCTAAAAAAGTTGAGAACCACTACCCAAAATGAGAGAAAACTTAGAAGAGCCTGCCACCCCTTCTGCTCTTCCCGCTGCCAATTAACGTGGGGTTCAAATGAATGAAAGGGAAGCTGGTTGCATACGTGTGTACAAGACAGGCCTCTTATTTTTTTGTCATTGGAAGTCTCTTGATAAGAGGTTAACAGTCTTCCAGTAAATAGGGAAGTCACTGGCAAGACTGTAGATGACTGAGAAGACTGATTCAAGATCCACGTTTGACTGAGGACACAAAAAATAGAACCTTGTGAATGTCAGATCACAGTTCTTTCCCTTTGTCTCTCTTGCCTATCTACCTCCTGAGTGAAGGGAGTTTGCTCAAAACCATCAGTGCCTTGTTGTACATCACAGCACCACTGGGGATTATTCAGTGCTTGAGTCTCCCAGGTACTGATGTTAATATTGCATTTCTTCAGATTGCATTTCAAGATGTCCTTGAATCTCCTTTTTCCCCAGCTCTAGAGCTCCGAACCCACACTCCAGTAGCTTTGTAAAAATACATATTTGCAGCTCCAAAAAAAGGTTCAAGCATTCACCAAATTCCATATTTGCTGACAGCTTTTTGAAAATTAAATAGATTAACAAGAGCCATATGATTTGCTGGACACAATGGGATGGAATTACCAGAAGTCTGACCCAAGTTCTGAAATTCCTTCAAGATCCAGCAAGGCTAGGGACAGACATTACACATAAACTGGTATAAGTGATCAGAAACTGGTTTAAACCTGAAACAGAACAGAAGTTCTGCACATATAAACTGTTTCAAAATGGTTGAACCTGGTTTAAAATAAATCTGGATGGATGTAGTATGAGACTTAACTGATTTAGGTTAAACTGGTCTATCGAACTTCTGTCCCAGATCCCCTCCCAAGTTACTTTGCAGTCCCCCAGCATTCCAGAATGCTTTACGGTCCTCCACAAACCCCCACTCACAGGGCGGTCTGCTGGAACACAGCTCGTGCTCTGCTGCTCCAGGCCAGCACCTAGCTGGCCCTGCCCCCAGGCTACACAGAGTCGCCTACACAGCTTCTCTGCCCAGCTATGGCTCCCAGCTCCAGGCAGCACAGAGCCCGGAGCAGGCGGCGGGATGGGGGCATGGGGAGCCAACACAAACCCCTCCCTCAGGATCCACACAACCCTGGCTTGGCCAACATACAGCTGGGAGCTGGGGTGGGGAGGGAGCAACATAGAGGCTTCCCTAATGGTCACTGTTGGTTTCCCACACCAGCTCCGGGGCTGCCTACTGGCTGAGCCAAGGCTGTGTGGACTCTGAGGGAAGCATCTCTGTCTTGCCCCTGCATGCCCCCTGCCAGCTCCAGGCTGCCTGCTGGCCCAGCTGGGGCTATGCAGACACTGATGGAAGTGTCTATGTTGACTCCTCATGCCAGCTCTGCCTGCTCCAACCAAGAGCCAATTCTGGGCAGAGGAGCTGTTGTCTAACAGCCCTGAAGCCTCAGTTCCCCCCCCAGCCCAGGTATGGCTTCCCCTATGCCACTGCTGGCAGAGCTGCCAGGTGGACCAAGACCCACTCTGGAAACCTAGGGCTCAGTGCAGGGAGGATCCAGGGTGACAGCAGGCAGGTGGAGGCGTGTGCCCCATAGCCAATCAGTGACGGCCCCAGCTCAGCTAGGCTCAGCCACCCTCAGCAGGCAAAGGTGTGCCCCTCCAGGTTCTGGCTTTGGCCAGTGCAAGCATTCCCCACCCCACACCAAAGGAGAAACGTGCTCCGATCTCTCCTGATCCAATCTATGCAGCTTAGAGAAATCCATATAGATCGAATCAATCCCCACTCGGTTTTTTTACTGCCTGTCCTTAGCCCAAGTGTCTCACTATTTGCTGTGACAATGACCCAGATTATGGAGACTTTTGCAACAGCACTTGCACTAGTACATAGCTAGGTTGTGTGGAAACAATGGGCACTTCTACATGTGCTCCAGGGGCGAGGCAGGACACCTCAATTGGAGCGGTTCCAAGAGCCGCTCTAATTAAAGTGCTGCGTCTTGTGTATC